ACTGTTGGTTGCCAGTCTTACCAGCTTCAGGCTCCATGGTCTTTCTGGGTAGTAAACCCTTTCCATTGGCCATGGGAGGCTCCTGCCAGGTGGAAGCCCTGGGCTGGTCATTCCCTTTCTTGATGATCACCAGAGCACATTTGTGCAACTGGGCCTGATGCAGAACCTTCATGACATCTCCGTGGGCTAAGCCGGCCAACGAAGCACCATTGACAGAGACAAGGAAGTCCCCTTGGCTCACAGTCCCTTCCTGAGAAGCTGCTCCCTGAGAAAACACCCTGTGAACCTGGGACAGAGCAAGGAAAAGAGAACAAAAGCCAAATCCACTTATGACCTTTGCAACAGTGAGCAAGTAACTGCAAATCTGTGGTAAAGAAACTTCCTCATGATAAGTTTTCTAAATCATACAAGTACTTGATATAATAAAAACATAGTGTGTGTGTGCATGTGTGTGTGTGTGTGTGTGTGTGTGTGTGTGTGTGGTTAGAATTACAAATGTCAACCCCAAAATTAAGTACAGACTGTGAGACCTAGGCTTGTCTAGCGAAGGTGGGTGGCCTCCTTAATGATTTCAAGGTCTTTGAGTGATACTTCAGAAAGAAGGGATTTTATAAGCAAATGCAAATTTGGTTAGTTGAAACTCCTGTTTTTCCAGTTCTTTAGAAAGATACTTAAGCAAATTATAAGGATGTAGATAATTGTGTTTATATGTATTGGCATTTGGCCTGCACATCACGCTATTTCTGTTAAATACGCTCATCTCGGTCAATGAAACCACTACATTCTGCTTTGCCCACGCTTTCATTTCTGTGTTGGTGGCAGGGAACAAAACTCAGCAGTTTCTGAATGTTCTGATTGGAATTTGTGTCCTGATCAAATTCTGTAGCTGCTTAAGGAGTGATCTCATAAGAGCCTCCTGACATTGTCACTTACTATGATTGATTTCAGCTCCACATCTGTTCCTCCTTCCACACTGAATCCCAGACCTGAGCCTTCTTTTTTATTCAAGACTATGAAGAGAATATCTTCTTTATTCTGGTGAAGAGAAATAGAAAGAAAAAGTTTCTGTGCTGAGCGTGAGAAGCTCTACCTACATCTAGGTGCATGACGCAGACCCATGATTATCCAGCTCTCCCAAATGCTGGAAGAGTCCCGGCTCAGCCATCCTGCCCCTTCTAGGTGGTGCTTAAGTGCCAGGTTTTGAGGGTCCACCCTGTAGCTGTGGACCCCTGGGGAAGGTGAACTGGAACAAGGATGGCAGCAGGGGGCTATTAACAATTCCCCAGTCTTCAACCCATCTGAAGCACCAGATTTTACTTTCCAAATCTGATCAGAGCACATAATTTGGCCATAAAGAGAATTCTTTTTCCTGTAATTCTGTAAGTCTACAATTTAGCAAGGTCGTTCTAATAACCACAGAGAGAGGTGCCAAGAGGCAGGACAAAAGCATGTTGAGACCATACGTTTTATACATCCACTTCCCCAAGCTCAGATAGGATATTGGTTTCAGCTATAACTAATTAGCTAGCAGTCATAAGATACAAAGGACATTAAAACTAATTGTCAACCTGTATTGAGACTAGAACATTCTTAGTAGTGTCCTAAGGTTCAGTAACAGAAGACTGTCCTATTTTAAGCATCAATCAAAAGATATCTTGAAATAAAAGAATTAAAATAAAAAAAATTAGGTGGGCTAATTATTTTGAATTTTGACTTCTTTCACCCACACACTGTATGATTCAGCAACATTTTTAAGGTCTGCATTGCTCGATTTCACTCCAGGTGATCATCCATCACTTCCAGGTGTTCTCAAACACAGCAGCAGCAGAAGAATCTAATAATAACCCCTAACGATAGATTTGATGAAAGAAAATGAAATACAGAGGGAAAACCACCACTGTATATGCAGGGGCAAGAACCCAACTGTGAGAAGAAAACGTGTTTAGTATTAGTAATTAGAACTTATTTCCTAGCATTTTGGTACCTCTGCAAAGAGTTTATTCAAACCAAGCCCTGTGTGCTGATACCAGCGTTCCACTGAGCCTTGGTGGGGGAAGGGTTGGAATGGTGACTTAAGGGTCACCTTCACCCAGCTTTGTGCTCAGGCACAGATCAGACCACTAGGCTTTCCAAGAGACAGAAACACATGGTTCAGTAAGTGATCTTTGTGCAGCTTCTGGGAGGTGATGCTTAATTCTATAATATGAATACTTCTCAGACATCTAAAATGCCTAAGAGAGCAAAGATCAGAATATCTGAAAATAGGACTCTCCTGCATTGCAGGGCATGTCACCCCAATTTTAATTTATTCAAATTCTTTTTTTCCTAGGGGCGTTTGAGGGAACAAGTGTGCTAGCAACTGACTGCCAGGTCAGATTGCCTGAGAAGCTTGGCATGGCTTGTGAAGCCAGATGAACATTCAGCGTTCTCCCAGGCTTGGTGTGCTGTAGTCAGAAGGCCAGGGCTAGGTTTTGGCACCTCTCTGACCTCTCACAGAACCGTGGAAGGCCACAGGAAATTGGGCACCTGCCAGCCATACTCATTGGAAAAAAGTAAGGCAGAAAACTGCTGGCGTGAAGATGGCAGAGTTAAGGCTATCTCTGCTCACTGCCCCTCTTCCCCAAAATCGACTGAGGGCAGTAAGAAAATAGGAAGGGGAAAAGAAGGCTGCATGCTGGTGAAAGAGGGAACCATCTTCACCACCACAGGCAACACTTGTCTGCAGGTGAACATCCAACCCTGGTGACAGAGGACCAACAGGTGCCCCCAAGGGAAACACTTGGTATTCCGTCCACATGAAACATCACCACCACACTTCTGCCCCTGGCACCATTACCAGAAATCCCAGAGTGACCTTTACAGGGAAAATGCTCACTTATTTTAACACATGGAAGGATGTAGGGAAATGATGGAATGGCCTTTTTTACTTAAAGTGAAAGTGCCTCCCCACCGCCAACCCCCCGCCCGACTGGGGATTGAGCTCAGGGCCTCACACTTGCTAGGGAATTGCTCTACAACTCAAGCCGCCTCCGAGTCCTCCAGGTATTTCTTAACTGCACAGACTTAAACCAGTGGGCCAAGAATCACCCAATTTCTCCACCATTTAGGCCAACTTATTAGACGCCAAGGCTGCTCCTTAGCTGGGAAACCTCAAATGTCACCCAGGAGTCATTTGTGGAATGGTGCTCACGGGTGACATTAGTAACCCTGGTATATTACAAGAAAAATTATTCATATTTGCTTTTTTTTCTCCATAGATACTCATCTGTTGGGGTTCAGATGAATAGTCCTAAGAAACTTATTCTTCAGGAAAGGACTCTAGATGTGAACTCACACTTCCTTTTGTTACTGTTTATCATCACATCTGATTCATTCAAAGACTTTACTTGTAATTACTTATTAGCTGCTTTGTCTTGTACTCTGGGTTTAAGAGCTCTTATTAAATTTCAGGGCACTAGTGGGGCTACACCAAGGTAACTTTCCTTTCACCAGCAGGTGGCCCCCTCACTAGTTTATGTGCACACTTAAGTGGACAGAGGTACTGTGTTCATTCACCAACATTTCTAGTTCTGCTTAGAGGATCCAATGTCGGGTGGGATGGAAGGTGACAAGCTGCCGCTGGGGAATTAAAGTTGCAATGACAGCAATCCACCACCTGAACCTTCATGGCAAGGTCCAGCTTCTGAAGCCAGCCAACCACACATGAGGCCACAATCAGGCTGAGCCATGGAACCCCCAGCCAACTGCAGATTTCCAGGATGTGGGAATGCATGATCTCCTGGGCTGTCTGAGCTGGTGGCACACACCTGGGCACCAAGGCTGCCCGTGCTGCTTTCTGCATTTCACTCACCTCTGATTGTGTTTTTGCTTCCTGAATAAGACTTAGAATCGTAGATTTTGACCCCACTGATGATAAAACTGCCTGTAATCTCTGCTGGTCCCCCGCTGAGTCAAGAAGTTGATCCAAACTAAGTAACAAAAATATTTGAAGACCATTAAAGAGAAAAGAAATTTCTCCATTTTGTAAGGATGCATTTGAAAAGATCTTTCTACTGTGTTGCAGGTATTTTCCATCTTCATGCTTTCTGTTGGTCATAACTGACACTAAGTGAAGAACCTGCATGCCCAAAAGGAATGTCCTTTGTTGACAATGGCAACAGGAGTTTAACAGAGCACTGCTGAAATACTGAGAAGTGCTCAATAGATCGGCTCAAGTGAGATATTCTCAAACCTCAGAAGTGTCCCATGTAACTCCAGTCACTTTCAAAGCCCATATTCTCCCCTGCAGTGCAGCTTCCACACCTCCTCCTCCCCGACTGGCTCTTGCTTAAATGCCACGTCCTATGTGTTTCTCAGAGCCACAGTTTGGAAAACTTTCCCCTGCCAGGCACTTTTAGTGCTTCCAGTAACGATATTAAAAAGACGAAGGCCAAATGCAATGAGGTATCAGGATTGGATCGATTGAATCCTGGAATAGAAAAGGAACATTAGCAAATCGGCCTAGGTGTAGTTGATTTGATAGGATTGCTCAATATTAAATGCTTACTTTTGATGTCTGACCTATGGTTATGGAAGATGCTAACATTAGGAAGAGCTGGGTGAGAGGTATGTGAAACTCTGTACTACCCCTGCTGTTTTTCTACAAGCCTAAAGCTTCTCCAAAATCAAGTTGATTTAAATAAAAGGGGAGGCAGATACTTACCTAACTGACCAGCTTTTTGCAGAAGGCAGGTCCTGGGCGGGTTCACCCCCTTCGCTGGCTGCAGGGAACGCAGAGGACTCACTAGCTGTAGGGCTACTTCCTCCTGGACAGGCCCTGGTCTCACCCTTCCTGGGATTCAAAAGGGCTGCTGATCCATCAGGGCCTCGAAGGCCTCCACCCTGGTTCCCCACCTGTGAGCCCAGCGACCTTCTGGGGACGATCTCTAGCTGGGTTCTGAAGAGCACAGCAGTGGGTCCTGCTGAGTAGTCCTCTCCACCACAGAGCTTGTCCAGGTCCGGCATGCTCAGTGCTCTCAGTTCTTGCAGCTTGGAGCGGGACACAGGTGAGGGCTGGGCATGGCGTACTGAGGACTTGTTCCTCTTGACAGGCGAGGCCGGAGTCACTGTTGGGGTGGGAGTTCCCAAAGGAACAAGTGATTTCTTTGAGTCTGAATCGGGGCTCTTTTTACCGGTCTCTTGCGGGTGCTCCTGGGAGACAATCAGTGTCATGCCAGATGGGGACTTGGTCATTTGTGGGAGGAGAGCACTGGCTTCACTTTGGCTTTCACTGCAGGAACTCAAGCTGCGCCTCAGTGACCTTGCTGCTGCGTCACTGGGGTGGCAGAGGTTCCCTGAAGTAATGCTGCCAGATGACCGTCTGCTAATGGGAGGCTTAGCAGAGCTTACTGACAAAAATGGGGATGCCCCAGACTTGACCGTGGGCCGATCAGAATTGGCCAGGTTCTCAAAAGACTTGATCCTCTGTTTCACAGAGAAAAATGAGGTAGATTCATGGGGCCAATTCTGCTCATAGTAGTGATGTCTTCTGGTGACTTTGATTTTGTCTGTGATGAGGCAGCCCGTATCAGGGGCTGCAGTGACATCCCCTTGGTTGGTTTTTGGGAAATTCCTTGATGTTTCCAGCAGAGGCTTCACACTATATAAACCCTGTCCATTAGCCAGGCCAAGACTATGACCTTTTGGTGCCTTTGTCTCAGGGAGACCACCGCTTGTCACAGGGACTTGGCTGTCCCGAGATGAGCGACCTGGGCTGTGTGGCAAATGATTCTCCCGTCCAAAGTGGCTTGAGAACTGGGCCGGCATAGAGTATGTCCTTGTGGCTGGCCTTGGTGTGAAGTAGGGATGCTCCTCCCCCATGGGGTCCATTGCCGTGCCATTCTTGGACACCCCTAGTGAGTCTGACATCTGGTTTGATCTCCGCTGGGAGCAGTCTGCCTTTTTAGCAGGCAGTTGTGGGGAGGAAGCTGAAGAAGCCAATTTGGCCAAGCTGACCGATTGTCGCATTTCCTGCTCGGCCTGGGAGGCAGGAGACACAAGTGAGGATGGGTAATTGGAGCACAGTTCCACTGACTGGTGGAGACTGATTTCACTCTTCTCCTGACAGTTGCTCTGGGCCAAGAACCCTTCTTGTGTGTCACTTTCAGCTGATTTGTCACCACACACATTCTTTGGCATTCTTTCAGAAGAAATCTCAACTATTTTCAGCTGGTTTGTTCTTTCAAGGGGATCACTAACAATTTTTGTGCTTCCTTTTTCCACTTGGCTGGGCCTGCGCTGCTCGCTCTGTCTGATCCCCGCTGAGGCCACACCGCTTCTTGAGGCGGTGGGACTCCCAGGCCCAGAGTCAGCATGGGGCACCTTGCCCTCTGGTCCACACCTGGGGGACTTGGTGGTGGGTGGGCAACCTCTGTCAGATTCTGAGTGGACAGCCACGTGGAACCTACTATACACACTTTGCTCAGGGAGAGTCTTAGGGGAGGGCAGAGGCGAAATGAATGTTCTGATGCTTGTGTCTGATGCAGAGGCCTTCAGTAACCTGGAGGCTGCCAGGGGTGGCTTGCTGTCTGGCACACACTGGGAAGACGTGGAGATGTCTATGGTGTTGCTGTCAAGTTCCTCACGGTCAGCTCCATGGAACCTGTGGGATGCTCCCTTTGAGAGCATTTTGTGGGAGGTCTGGGGTGAAATTAAGGATTTCCTGTGATCCACTGCACCAGCTTTGGAAGAATTTACAGCAGGGGCCTCCTTGCTTTTGCTTTTGATGCTGAGTCTCTTCAGCTTAGGGCCACACTTGGGTTTCTGACTGTTACTTAAAAGTGTTTCTACTGAACACTTTTTAGATGAGTCTTTATTTTCAAGATTCAGTTTTGGTGCAGAAGGGCTGTTAGGCACAGCAGTCCCCCTTTTGTGGCTTGAGCTCAGTATTTGAATTTTGGAGTCAGGACTCCTGGCTGGCATGGTGGCATGTTCCTTCTCAGTTTTGCCCTGCACATGTGTACCTTGGTTATTTTTATTTATCTCTTTAAACCATGCCATGATGGGCCTCCTGGAGACCATTTTTGGTTTCTGCAGCAAGTCAGCCAGGTCTTGACTTTCGGAGATGTGTAAGTTCACCGAATCAGAGTCTCTATTCTCAGGGACGTCCACACTGAAGGGGCACACACTGTCAGTTGCATTAACATTTGTTTCTGGTTTATCTGGGGTTTTGTCATCCAGCAGATCATGTCCCAAACCATTCACCATGTTAGGGCTGCTGAGCATGACCGGCGGGTTGTGACAGAGGCTGGTGACGTCAGAAACCTGGCTATTTTCCATGGCTGAGCCAGCACTGGGAACTGCCATGTTTTCTCCTGCACACAAGGGCCTGTGGCTCTGTGCAATGTTTATGCCCTCACGAGTTTCCGGCTCTGAAGAGCTTATCTCCAAGAGGGAAAATGGCTGGGAAGAGTCTGGGATCGAAGTGCGTGAGGTTCCTGGCAAGAAGCAGGCTCTTTCACAGGAGTTGTCCACTGATTCACTCAGAGCATTGTGCTTTAATGGCAGAACTTTGGCTAAAGCTGGGCAGGGTGCAGCCTGGGCAGGAGGATGGGCAGTCGCCGAGGGTGGACGGGGGCAACCATTTGTGGAACAGATTTCGATGTGCTCCTCCTCCGACTCTGTAGGTGCTTCCCTGTGAGGAGACCCATGAGCACGAGATGACCAGGTGTCCCTGGTGGAAGCTCGTGGGGCTTCAGTGAGAGACTCAGGGTCAGAAGACGAGTCTTCAGCATCACCATACATGGATGAGAGTGATGGCTCGGTACTGTCACCCAAACCCGACAGGGTGATACTGTCTTCGTGAAAACTGCTCAAATTTCTAGAGTAGTTGCTCAAAAAGTTTTTGTTCACAGTAAAATGCTTGTCAGGATTAATGGAATCCAAAACGGAAGGCTGGGAGGCCCACTGTGGGGGCGGGGGTGGACCTGCAGTGCAGGCCTTCCTCCAGGAAGGTGTCTGGTCCCCCATGACTGTCTGGGTCTGGCAGGAACTGCCACTTCCAGCTCCTGCTGTTGGCCCACCCTGACAACTGCCCTTGTGACCCCCGCAGTCCCCTCTCTGAGGACACCAAGACCTTGCTTCAGAGTTCTCTGACTCCTTGACCCTGTCGATGTTGGCCACTGGGCTTTCTCTGCTCCCTGGTGGGCAGCAGTGCCCCGAGACACCACCACATGTGTCTGTGGCCCTGTCAGTGGATGATGGCAGGGAGGGACTGGCCTGTGATGTCCACCCAGATGTGGATTCTGTGTCCTCGAGCACAGGTACCTCCTGGGAGCTTTCAGGTGCATGGACTCCTGTCCTTTCCGAGGTCTTGCTGAGGTCATTTGGAGTTCCTTGACTCCTCTCTGGACATGTGAGGGGGTCTTGAGGCAGACTGGCACTGGCTGCAGTCACTCCCTCAGCACCTGGTCCTATGCCCCTGGGGACAGGCACCTTCTTGTTGTTGTGGGGCAAGCTGGCTCCAGGCACAGCCTGAGTCTTAGGAAGAGCTGGTGCCTTCAATTCCGGGGACATGCTGCACTCTGGGACGAGCCTCACCACAGATCCGCCCTGGGACTCGGGCTCCTCCACCTGGAGCAGCGCAGGCTGGCAGGGGGGGTTGGGCCAGTGGACTTGCCCTGGGACTGTGGAGATCTTACTGGGGTCAGGTTGAGTGGCCTCCTTCTTCCCCAGGAAAGGGAGGAGGTCTGGGGAGCTGTCTCCTGTGTGGAAAATAGCAAAAAGTGGAGGAGATAAGGAGAAAATGTAAGAAAACAGAAACTCAATTTTTTAAGTACTGTAAATAACCTCTTTTATCTTTTCCAGGAAGACATTCTACAACCTACATATAGACCTTCTTGACTCTCTGTTTTTATCTCTGAAATTACAGAACACTCACATCTAATAACCACCACCCTAAAGTAATTCAGGCTCACTGACAGGACAAACCCATTTCCTCTCTCTGAGTTTTAAGGGTGGGGAACACCAGAAATCCTTCACTTCTCAGATTTTTGCTCCTGCAGAAGCTGTGGGAAGAGGGAGACTGCTGTACTCTCTGATTTCTTAGCTTCGCTGTGGACTCTGCTTGCCCAGTTCCAGTACTGGCTGGCCACGTGTGGGTTTAGCCTCAGGCTATGCAATGTGAGTGATTCAACTCTGCTCTGAACTTGAGGGTTTTTTTTGTTTTTGAGACAGGGTCTCACTATGTATATTTTGAGATAGATAGGCCCTGGAACTTGTGATCTTCCTGTTTTGGCCCCCTGAGTGCTGGAATTACAGGCAACCACCACCATGCCCACCTATGGGACTTCCTTTTTAGCTCAGGAGATGAGGCTAATGAGGGAGAAGAGAGTGTATGGACAGGGTCCATGTCTACATGGAGTGTTAGCTCTATCTCGATGAGGCTGGAGGAAAGCCAGAAGGCCAGGGCATCCCAGAAAGGAACCTTTGACAGAGGACTTGGGGACTTGAGTGGGGTTCCCCAGGGATAGTTTTGGTCAGAGAGGAAAGAGAAAGAAGGTGTCCTCACAATGAAAGCAGAACAGGAAAGCTCGGGGCAGCAGGGAAAGGGGACAGTGGAAAATGGAGTCACCCGTGGGAGGTCCCTCTGTCCTGGAGATACCTACTCAGAAGGCCCTGCATACTCTTGAACTAATCTGCCTACAGTTGACACACAGCCTTACAACAGGGGAAACTGGCATAAAAACTGACATAGGGGCAGCAATGTTCTTAGGATCTGGGATGAGAGCAGCAAGCTCAGCCACAGGAGAGCTTGTGGTTTGAGAAGCGTGCCTCCCCCAAATGTGGAGTTCGCTTCGTACCTCATATAACATCATCTCCCCTGGCATGTGTTTTTTTTTCCCTGAAGGTCTTTGTGAATATTATTAGGACTTCACGCTATGCCAAGAGTTTTCCACATATTTCATTTCTTCCAACCCCTGAAAGCCCTTGGGGATCGGCTTGTGACCATCTGTGTTGGGAGGATGCGGAATGGAATCATGCAGTTAAGCAACAGGTCCAAGGTCGCCGGTGGAGCCAGGAGTCACCCCAGTAAGCTGGTTCCGCAGCCCTTGCTCCGACTCCACCTGAAGTCTGCGGCCTTTGCATCAGAAGCACGGGCAGTTAATAAGGGTGGGTCATCAGGACACCCGTGGAGACAGCAGGCAACTTCCCTGAGGCCTGCTGTGGAAGGCCAGGGGCCGCCAAGCACCTGCCGGATCAAGGTGCTGGTCTCTGCTATACCTGTCCTGCCTCTGCTGACACCACATACAGGGAAGTAGCAACGAGACAGGGGGGCATTGAAAAGCTGGTTTCTGTTTCAGATTCACTCCCTGAACACATCCTAACAGGAAGATTTGTTAGTGACTTGACTTATTACAAAGTGTATCTACCAAGGGTTTTATTTGCAGGAGATGAAGTTACATGGAGGCAGCCTTTGCGGCACCTTTCAAAATAATGCTTCATTTGGTATCCCCTAAATGCCCAATAATGGGCACATCCCTGGGGTGGAAGGCCCAGCAAACTTGGCACGTAATGGTGCAGTTTAGAAGGACCTGGAGAACACAGGTGCAGCTTCCTCACTAGGGCAGGCTGCAGGTGTGCTGTGTCCTCAGAGCCCAGGACAGCCTGCCAGGGCCACACCAGTCACAGGAGCAGACCTGTCATCTCAGCAGGCTGCTTAAATATTATTCTCTCTCTCTCTCTTTCTGTGTGTATGAGGTACTGGTGATCACAGACGTGTTTTTTCTTTTTTAAAATGAAATAAGATAGGACTGTGATTGATACATTTAATGCACGTTCATACATGCAATAGGACTAAAGGATACATACCGAAAAATTTTTCTTTGGGGCTTAGGTGACTTTCTGCTTTTTAAATTTTCCCTCTCAATTTTCCTGTGCTCTTATAATAAACATTGCATGCCTTTCTTTACAAACCTAGTGCCAAACAAGGCATCTGCATCCTCTCCCCAATACACACACTTTTCTCACGCAGGGCTTTTCTTACAGCACCTGACAGATCTTCCAGAGCCACTGCCCCCTCCTCCTGGTTTCCAAGAGCCAACCGCTGAGAGAGCCAAATACCACTGCCTGGGCCCCAAACCAGACCTCGCCACCAACACGGCTGGGGACCACTTACTCCCAAGGAAGATGGCGCCATCTTTCTGAAAAACCTTAGGAAATGTGTGTGTACTTGTACAGCTAACTGAAGGTTTATCTGCCAGGCAGTTACACACATACATGCGTTTTTTTGTCCATGGGAAAATCACATGACTACGTGCGATATAACCTGTCGAACACATATTATGTGCTAGATAGCACTCCAAATGCCACCCGTGATCAGGATCCTGGATCCTCAGAAAAGCCCTGTAAGGTGGGTGACCCAGGACATGAGTGAATTGCCCAGGGGCACTGCTCTCATCAAAGTTTGGAGCTCAGGTTTGAACTTAGGCAGCCTGTGTCTGGTACTCGTGTGCTTTGCTGCACGTTGTATGTATATTATTTTGAATTTTATTAAAGGTAATTTTTAGCAATTATGTGCTTTGGAACTTTCACTTAAAAAAGGATACATATATCCTAATAAAAAGAAACAGAAAAGGGATGCATTTTACTCATTTATTTTTGAGCTTGGCACTTGCTAGACAGACTCTCTACCATTTGAGCCAAGCTTCCTTCCTTAAAAAACAGTATTTTGAAAACTATCCTTCCTACACATTAGAAAGCAGTTATTTATAATAAAATTAGATGAAAGAAGGGATGTGACAAGAAGTCAGGTTGTCAGCAGGATCAGCTGGCCACAGATAGTCTTTTAATTGGAAAGAAGAGAGAAAAAGCCACAAAAAGTCAGAAGCTCTCAAAATTTTAGGGATCAGGTAATTTAATATATTGGGTCAAATGCTTCAGATAGACTCCCAAAGCCCTAGAGGGCGCCAGTGTGTCACCACGACTCAACAATCAATCCTCATAGACCCTTAAGTTTAAGAATTCAGTGATAAGCGCTATATTACATTTCATGGTGCATTCCATGTTACTTGAACATAGCACAATACTGTTTTTGCTGAGCACCATGGGTTCCTGGCACTAGTATCTACTGACTGCTTGGGGGTGCTAGAACACAAGTTTTTCCTTTCTCAAGGCTTATTTATTAAATGAGAAGTCCAGAGAGGGGAAGAGAGAACAGCACCCTAACATCTCAATGGGCTGCAGTCACAGCTGTAACAGGTGCACAGAGCACCACAGGACACAGGTTCTTCTGTGGGGCTGGGGGTGGAGACTAAATGTCTCTTTACTCCAGAGACATCTCTGCCTCTATAAATTCACAAATGCTCAGTATTCAAGAAATTCTTGGTGTGGTGCCAGGTGTGGTGGTGCACACCGGCAACTCCACCCACTTTGGAAATGGAGGCAAGAGGATCATGAGTTTGAGGGTCAGCTGGAGAAAAAGAGAGACCCTACCTCAGACACAAAATACAACTGCTTCTTGGCCTTTTGGCTAAGATTAAGTGTAGTAAAATTCAAAACAAAAGGGCTGAAGACAGCACTGGAGGCTCACGCCTACAATCCTAGCTACTTGGGAGACTGAGATTGGGAGGATTGTGGTTCTAGGCTAGCACATGCAAAAATGTTTGTGAGACCCCACCTTGATGGAAAAAAGCTGGGCATGGTGGCACATGTCTGTCATCCCAGCTATAGCAGGAAGTGTAAAATAGGAGGACTACTGTCCAGGATGGAATGGGCAAGAAGCACTGAGTTCAAAACCCCAGCACTGCCAGAAAACAAAGACCAAAAGGGCTGAGAGGGTGGCTCAAGAGGTGGAGTAATTGCCTAGCATGTGCAAGACTCTGGGTTTAATAAAAAAAAAGGAACTTTCTGCACTAGTTTGCAGATTAGCATGGTGTCCATCTTGATAATAAAAATCACACAAATGTGAATTCCAGGAAAACTTCCAGAGGATCTTTTTATAGAACACAGCTCTTAAAATGTGTGAAGACCCTGGCCTCAAATGAGGATTATTATTTCTTTTCTTTTTTTTATGATGGGACTGGTGTTTGACTAAGGGCCTTTCCCTTGCTAGGCTGGTGCTCTACCACTTGAGCCACACCTCCAGCCTTTTTCGCTTTTAGATTATTTTTCAGATAGGGTCTCACTTTTTGCTCACAGCCAGCCTTGGACCTTGATCCTCCTACCTATGGCCTCCCATTTAGCTGGGATGGCAGATGCATGCCACCACCCCAGCTTATTTTGTTGAGATGGAGGGGGTCTCATTAACTTTTTTCCCTAGGGGGGCTAGCCTTGAACTTTGATCCTCCCATCTGTCTCCTGAGCAGATGGGATTATAAATGTACCCAGTGTAATGAAGGATTATTTGAAAGGTGACATCAAGAGCTGCCTGCATGTAACTCCATCATCTTCCTTTTAAATTAGCCCACTTTGCAATAAAGTCAAATTGCTAATGAAACGCTGTTAGTGTCTGTTCAGTGAATGAATGTGAACCTGGAAGATGGAACAGAAACCATGGCAACAGCCTCATTAGAGGAGCAAAGCACATGAGGACCTGCATTTTTTCTATAAGTAGCCATCAAAATGTGGAGTGGATATTTTGAGGTTCTAAATTTTTAATTCAGAGGACACCCGACAAGGGAGGCCATTTAAGTTCTCTCCTGCCATGGTTGCTGGCCAATCAGAAAGCAGGCACTGCAAAGGGCAAAGACTTGCTGGCAGCTATGTGGACGGTCAGCACCTCAGCGGCCACCAGGCCAGCCACTGAGAAAGCCCCGCCAAAGTGCAAACTCAGAATACAAGTTTTCAGTCTCTACTAACATTCAGCTGAGTAGCTTAATTCAGCTTTTTTTCCCTGCTCATACTGCAGATTGAACCCAGGGCCTTGCACATATGAGGCAAGCGCTCTACCACTTGAGCCATGCCCCCAGCCTTTTTGCTTGTATTGTTTTTGGTGGGACTGGGGTTTGAACTCAGGGCTCTGCATGTGTAAAGCAGGTTCTCTACTGCTCGAGCCACACCAATCCATTTTGCTCTGGTTATTTTTGAGGTGGGGCCTCTTGAACTATTTGCTAGGGCTGGCCTTGAACCATGATCCTCCCAATCTTAGCCTCCAAAGTAGCTAGATTATAGGTGTGAGTCACTGGCGCCTAGCTGTAAGGTCTCACTGTTTTTTGTCAGGGATTGCCTTCAACTTGCAATTCTCCATTCTCTGTCTCCTGAGTAGATGTGATTATAGATGTGAACCACCACACCCAGCTACTTAATGCAGCATGACTTTAACAGTATCAAGATGCAGCCAATATTGATATGATTTCTGCTACCACGACATCACTCCATCTGTCATCAAGACTTAGGTACAGTTTTCCAGTATTAATTTTTATTTTCCTTGTGGAGCTTTTGATTGTCATTTCTCAGTGCACCTGACTTCACATTAGTAGGGTACAGAGATTCTGAGGTTGCAAAACTCTATTTTTCATGTCTCATCTGTGTCACAAAATGGGTAAATAGTACTGAGGACGGAACATGGATACACTCAACCTGGAATCAGAAGTATGAAGTCAGCCCAGTGACCCAGTGACGTTCCCTGGAAGGTCTTTCCCCTTCCCTAGCATTATCTATGTGTAATGCTTTTATTAGGGTGTCAGCCTCTGTATCATTCAACTTAACAATGGATAAGATAGCCTCACCTGTCCCGGGGTGTCGTCCCTGCTCTGTTGCAGTTTCAGACAGGTTCTCTCCCATGAGTCCGGCGTGTGCATGGGATGGGGTACTGGCCGGCCCACAGTCGGTAGGGACAGGTCCATCCCCAGGGGTTAGCTTATCCAGAGGTTCCTGGCACAATGATAACCAGAAGTCACTGTTGGCTTTGGACTTCCTGCATCATAAGATGGCATTGTAAAAGAGGAGAGTGCTGTGGGAAAGGCCACAAGGGCCCTGGAGTCTTGCCAACATGGCTTCCCCCTTGGCCTGTTTGACGTTTAACAGACATCCCTGCAGTTTAAGATGACACTTTAAAAATAAAATTCTCTTTCTAATGAAGAAAAAAAAAAGAGCCCTGAACCAGGAGCCAGAAGATCCGGGCTATGGAAACTGCAGTCTTGTTACTCATCCCTAAGCCTTGTTACTCATCCCTAAGCCTTGGAATCTCAACTTGAAAATGGGGACAAGAAGACTTGCCCAGTTGCCCTCATAGAATTTTAAATAACATCTGATTAAATGAAAATAGCTATGAAACAGCATAGAAGAGGCTATCTAGATGAAAGGTATTGTTATATTTCCTATAGATAGCCAAGACTGTAAAAATCAATTCCTTAGTCTGGTAACGAGGACGAGGGCAAATCAGGATAAATGAAAGCGACATGTAATACTTCAAGATTTCCCGTCGGCCAAATGTCAATTGCTTTATCTTCCTTTCTTCTATCTAATACGCACTGCAAAAAATGAATTTTGAACTTATTAGAAAGTTAAACTGGATTGACTTGAAATTTATCCACTGAGTTAGTCATAAAGTGGCCCAAAGGCGGCAGCAGAGGAGAGAGGTGACAGGCATATTGCAACTGTCAGCATCTCTTGCAGAAAATCAGATGGCTGGCCCAGGGAGCTTCCAGGAGCTCGGCTCACTTCATATGAATGTAATATAGAACAGGACAAGGGTTTTGGAACTGGACAGAGGTGGTGGTTGCACTGCATTGTGGGTGTTGTGTCACTGAATTGTACCTCAAAATGGTTAATTGTGTATGAGTGTCACCTGAATAAAAAGTATTAAATAAGAGTGACACAGAACAGCCCACTTAGTAAAAGAGGTTTTGTGTTTCCATTCTCAGAAGATGCCTTACAGCAAGGCGTTCCACTTCCACGTGTAAGCAAAATAAAATTTCAGAACTAAATTTTTTATGAGAAAAATTAAATTCTTCTGTAAAAAATTTAAATGCTGCTCAAAAGTTCCTATGGGAGCTGGGCACCGTAGCTAATGCCTGTAATCTTAGCTACTTGGAAGGCTGTGAGGAGGAGGATCACAGTTTGATGTCAACCCAAGCAAATAGTTTGCAAGGCCCCAAATTACCAGAGTAAAATGAACTGGAGGTGTGTTCAAGTGGTAGAGCACCTGCTTTGAAAGCATGAAGCCCTGAGTTCAAACCTCATTTCCACACACACAGAAGTTCTTATTAGGAGTAGGAATTCGAAATTATAAAACATCTTATTTTTTGACTTGTTTGTTTAGAAATAGGGCTTGCTGCTTTGTAGCCTAGGTTGGCCTGGAACCCATGATCCTCCTACCTCTGCCTCCTGAGGGCTGGGATTACAGATGTGTACCACCACACCTGGCAAAATGTCTTATTTTTAACAGTTATAAACTGTTATGAAAAAAATCATGACCCAGTTGCAAATAGTTATCCAAAACTTGTTGATAATGAGACTTTTTAAAAAGAATAAGTACACCCATTAGATTATAATCTGTGATGGTTAGAGGTAAGCATAATTTTTGAGTAGGCTAAAAAAGAATTTTGCCTCATCGAGTTTTTATGGCTTTACGCTTTTTGGATCTATTTCCACATGTGTTTATAGAAACCATTTAAACACACCACTGTATAAATATGCCCTTAACATCATCTCACATTCTTTATTCAGAAATTTCTGTTGAGAATACTGCAAACAACACTAATTTCTCTTACTCTCCTTGCTAAAGAAGAACTATATTGAAATTAAGAAAATGAACAATTAGGTAATGCTAACATACTTACAACCAAGTAGTAAAATAAATTAACTTGCATTTAAGTGATGTATTTAAATTTCTGAGTTATTATTTCATTGGACAGTTTTATTTGATTTATTTTTTTTAAGACTATGTAGCCGAGACTGGCCTGGAACTCTCAATCCTCCTGCCTCAGATTCCTGAGTGCTGGGATTACAGACATCTACCACTTCACCAGTCCTCATGATACTTACAAGGGTATGAGTAGGTACAACACATAATCACTAGAAGTTTTGGAAAAAGAAAAACAACAGGATCACCTGTAACCTTATGAGCTGGAGAGAATCAATGTTAAGATTGATGCTCAACCCAATCCTAACAGCTGAGATAGACTGCACCATCCAGAGAACTGAGGCTCAGAAATTTCAAAAACTTGCCCCAGTCATCACTCAACTTGTGCGAACGAGTCAATGGAGAAGTCCTGTACTGTCATTGCCTTTCCATCCTCACCACGGGTTCTGCACATAGGTAACAGCGATTACATCTTGTGGTTGAATGGTCTTTATGACTAACACCTACCCCTGGCTTAACAGGCTCTTGTTAAGTGACTCTGCGGAAAGACAGCCCTGCAGTCATCATCCTTCAGCTGCTCGCCCTTGGCTTTCTAGCAGACTCTATTGATTCCACAGTATTCACTGCGACTCAGAGAAAGGAAGAGAGTGTCAGTTACCTTCCCCACCACTCCGCCTGGCTGACCAGTGATGTCCTCTTGGGTGGAAGTGGCCTGGGCTTGCAAGTCCTGATCATAAGGTCCATTGACTCTGCCAGTCTCTAAGCCACTGAGCCTGGCCTCAGCCTCGGGCCTCTTGCAGTGTGGGCTAACCCTGGCCACTGGCTTGTGCCTGGACACCACATTTTCATTCTTCTGTTGAGGGGAAGTAGGATTCTCTGTGCTTGCTGTATAGACTCTATATTCCAATTTGGGGGAGCTCCTCGATCCTGACAGTTCTTTTCTCCCCAAGCCTCCAGGGCCACTCTTGGGGTCCTCTGCAGAGCCTAGCAGGCTGGCTGCCCGGGAAGGAGCGTCCACCATCCCGTCTGGGACATTCTCCTGTAAATCCAATGAGCTGCTGAGCAGGGGCACTGAGCAGGCCTTGCTGACCAGTGGCTTCGGGGGTTGCCTCTCTTGCTTGTTGACATCCATGACCTTGGAAGAGGCCATGGAGACATGCCTAGTGTCATCGTCTGTCAGAGGCCTGCTGGGACCCGGGAGGGCTCCTGGGAGTGAAATGCAGTCTCCTTCTCCATCGAACTCTTCCTCATCGCTGGCATCATTGGCATCATAGCAGCGTACCCTCCTCTGACGGAGGAGAGGGTTCCTGAGGACCTGCGGACTTCCAGGGAGACTGGCTTGTCTGGCAACTGTCACCTGCTTGTGGAAGAGTGCAGAGGCTCGCTGGCTTCCAAGAGACACAAGGCTGTTGGCCCTGGCTTTCCCTGGCTCCTTGTGAGCTAGAGGGGGCAGAGAGAGAAAAGTCAAAAGAACCCGAGTTTCCCATCTGGCCCTGTCTTACAATGTCACCCATCATTACATGTGAGCATCCCCACATTCACGGATGCCAGACATACAACCTCCAGCCAGTGGACTCCATGCTTAAAGAATGTGGCTTCTTAGGGTTCATACAGTGTGGACAGCCAGCATAGTGCACCTCTTTGTATTTTGGGCTCCCCAACCCTTTTTTTAAGAGACCCAATCTCTCCATTATTTAATTAAAATTGTGTACTTTCTGGACACAGAAACATGTAATTCTCCAGTTTCCACGATGTCTCCCATGTTGTTGGGGTCCAACTTAAATGATGCTGCTGGGAATTCCTCTCCAGATGGGTGGGACCAAAATTATGTCCCCCACACCTGGGCTTTCTTTTCACCTGAGGTCCCTGATTCATCTGCAGTAAGGGGGTGGTCAGTTAACAGGTCTGTCAGCGTCTGGGTGTGGGACAGGCAAGCCTGGGCTGTCTACTTCTGAATGATGAAGTTCACATCTCAACCTTGAACTGTAGCTCTTAGAGCACACAGCATGCGTGGCAAGAGCTCCAGACGAGTCAGTGGTCACTCCTAAGACCAGGGGATTTTCTTGCTGAGACATAGATAAAAAGGAAACCTCGCCAGGAGACGGCCAAGAAATCCCTACAGTTCACCTAAGATTCTCACCTCATCTTGAGCAGATAGTTAGAGAGATTAATAAACCTTTGGTTAATCTCTCTTTTACATGTTCTGAACCTTTTACTTACTACTGTCTTCTAAAAAGAATTACATTAGGACCTAGTGAGGGAAAGGACCTGGAATTTCCTAACCTGTGTGGGCCTCAGGTTGCTCACTCTGATTTTGTTTCTTCAAATGCTGGGGATTGAACCTAGGGCCTTGCACATGTGAGCGGAGTGCTCTACCACTGAACTGCACCCCAGCCTGCCCTCTTTTCCCCAATTTGATGGCATAAAATTGAAGATTGCATGCTGTAAATGACACCTAAGGGGATCTGCAGTAGCTACCTTCATCACCTGGAAATAGGACGTGTGCCCCGCTGGCTCACTGCCTACTCAAGTGGCCCCTCATCAATGGTGGCTGCCTCGACCCAGATCATCTCTGTTTCCAACCAGGCGCACAGACTCCAGGTCTCTTAGCACATTACAGCCCCAGGGAAGGGAAACCACCATGCCCCACCTCCCCCACATTGCTTACTGCAGTGCAGAGCCCAGGACCCCCGGGGGCTCTCCTGCTCACTGGAGGTGCTGGGAGGCAGGCTGCCATCCTCCGATGTGCTGCAGCCACTTCCTGGGTGGTCCTCGTCTTCAGAGCCTGTCACCACAAAGTCTGACAAGGGACCCTGCACATCTTGGGCAAAGTACTGGGAGAGTTCAGATTCAGAAACAAGGGAGTCCTGTTGGGAAAGAAAACGTTGGATGTCTCAGTGTTCTTGGGAGATGCATCAGAAGCAGACTGTCTGAGACAGTAATTACTTCTACCTTTCCAAGAACACTTCGTTCTAATTGAGTCACTCAAAACAGCTGTGACACTAACGCCCCTCTCCATTTGCTTTAGGATAGCTACATCAGCAGTTAATAAATACAGAGGTGTCTGTTGCTCTCAGAGATTTTTTTTTTTTTTGGTGGGGGGTGCGGGGCATGACTCTTTTTGGCAAGGACCAGAAAAGCCTCAGCAGCAGTTTATCAACCATCCCTCCAAAAAACACTGGGGAAAACGATAGGAAAATGGAATACAATTCTAAGCCAAATGGCCCAGCCAATTGATGAAACAAAAAAGGATCTGAATCCCATGCCCCAGTCAAGTAGGCTTTAGGAATGTTCCAGTTTCCTTCAAGTTTTAAGTCCCTAGAAAACTTGGGCTAACTTTATTACAGAGCAGATTAAACAGTTACTTTTCAAAGGGTGCTTGTGGCTCACACCTGTAATCCTAGTTACTCGGGAGGGGGAGATCAGAGGATCGTGGATCTGGGCCAGCTGGGGCAAAAAAGTTTATGAGACCCCATCTCAGGGGAAAAAACCTCGACACGGTGGTAAACATCTGTCTTCCCAGTGATGGAGAAAAGTATAAAATAGGAGGATGTCCTGAAAAGCCTGGGCAAAAACAGAGATGGTATCTTCAAAATAACCAGAGCACAAAGGGAAGAGGCGAGGCTCAAGTGGTACAGGGCCTGTGTGGCATGCACAGTTCTGAGTTCCAATGCCAGCACCACAAAACAACAACAAAAACTTTTCAAACTGCAATTCATTCCTGTTATTTTGTTGGTCTATTCTTTTTCTGGATGAACATTTAATAAGAGAAAAACACCTTTGGGTATTTGTTTTTAAATTAGCCTGGCTGCTATTCCCTGTAAAAAGTGGGGAAAAAATATGGGCAGAAATATGGGCTGGACCCTGAGGCTTGACTTATGGGCTTCAGGAATTGGTTTGTGGTCCAGCTGAGTGAGGCAGGTAGCAGTGCATCTTGACTCACCTTTTTGGCAAGAGAGGGACTCTTCAAGGGAGTACCTATGGGGGAAAATTTACCATACTGTCAATACGATGAAGCTGAAATCACAAGCAGGTTCACATATTTCACCAGAAAAGGAGAAGCCAAGGCTACAAAAGAAAACTTGCTGGAGTGGTGCTGATGGATTGTGTGCACAGGTAGAGGAATGTGTACAGTCTACCTGGGGACCTGACCCTGTCCCGTCCTACCTCCCAAGACTCTACTCAGGCTTAAGCTCTTGAGCCAATGCTCCCACCTCCATGATGACCCCAACTGGAAGTAATTTCCTCTTCTGAATGTTCAAAGTATTTCATGTGACCCAAACCTCAATTTCTGTACACATAGGATAATTTAGTGGTGAGTGGGTATGCCTCATCTCTCTTCCCCCACTGTTTAAAAACATCTCCATAAAGTAGAGATGTTGACTAATAGGACCATACCGTGCTGGGTAAGATATCTTCTGTCCAGTAAGTGTTCAGTGGTATTTGCTGAATGGACTGAAGTATAAACGACCAATACCAAGAAACTCATGAAAGGACTAGAGAGTGGGTTGGATATCTATTTTAGTTTTAACTGAAGGATGAAAAGCTCAGGACTTAGACTTTAAATTAAATTATATGCTATGAGGATCCTGGCTTAGCAAAATCTTTGCTCACCGATCAAATGGCAATGCTGGAATTAAGAACCCAGCTTTCAGGCGCATCAGATAATGGACTGATTGAATAAAGAGCCTATTATGGCTGAATCCACTTTAAATATATTAATTATGGATGCAAATAATCAGGGTAGCTCATGGTTGCCAAAAAAAATCCCATTCCTTTCCCTCTGACAAGCAGTAACTCATATCTCAGTTCCTTTTCCTCTAGGACATCAATCTGAGTGTCAGTAGACTCTGGAGCTCAATGTTTAAAGTCCCTTTAGGCTTCCAGGCTAAGGAAACATTAGTTTTAAAACTTGATACAATGTTTTAAATTCATAAGAAACTCCTAGAATCACAATACTCTGCATGAATTTCTCCACTTAAGGGGGAAAATTGTGATTTTTGCTGCTTCTGTGCCTCTCGTTGCACTAAGACTTTTTAATTCATGCAAAGAAATCTCAGGCTTTTGGATGGACAAATCTCAGTATCGACTAAATTACTTATATTTTGCTATCATTTCACTTTTACCTATGGCATGTCAGATGAATTACGCACAAATATATGAACTGCTGTTAACTCACTTTTGCAAATTATTTGAAAGTAGTATAAGAAACATGCATGATTAGATCTTTAATGAGGCCCATTAAATAACTGCAGAAATCAAAAGTTGCAACCTAAAGGAATCATAGACTTTGACAGCAGCTTGACCAGCTCCAAGAATTACACAGAATCCAATAGTACTGTACAGGGGGTGCCTTGGGGTGAACTTAACAAGAAACTTCTGAAGGGTGAATGAAAACATGCAATTACAGTACCTAAGCCAGGAGAGGAATTGGTCTCTTTGCTCTCCTGATAAGTGCTGCGTGCTATCACTTCATCCATTTCCTGCTCAGAAACCTGATTTTCAGCAGAAAGCACAAATTAGATGATTTTATTTATTTATTTATTCCCCCAATAAAAGGAAGTAGGACCAGAATCAGAGTTGAATGCAGATAGAGAGGCAAATGCTGGGATCAAAGATTATAACCATCCTCTGAAGCAATGACTTGGGATGTAAGTACAGCTGGGTTGATGGATTGCTTCAAACTGCATTTGGAACAAGACTTTCAACGGATTCCCAAGTTCATTGAGTAAAGTATTCAGGTGCTGTGATCAACAGCATGGCTGGTATCTGCCTCTGTCTAAAACACTTCTTTCTCATTCTTTGTAAAACTTTGCTCAAACAATTAAAAACCTACAGAAACATGCAAGAGCAGTTGAATAGTACACTGTTCACTTAAATCCACTAATTTTTAACATCTTGCCAAATTTACGTGTACACCTTCTCTGTGCACACACACTGCCATACTTTTTTGCTAAACCACTCGCAACATGATCTTTCACTCAAATTTTTAGCACATATTCTTAAAAACAAAGACACTCTCTCAAATATCCATGATACTGTGGACAGATTCAGGAAATTTAATGTTGATGACTATCTAATATACATTTCATGCTCCAATTTAGTCAATTCCAGTACCATCCTTTAAGTCCTATGCAAAGTGTGTCTGTCTGTGGACTGCAAATTGTGCAGAATTTGATGCCAGCCTCTCAAGAGATAAGGACGTTCCTCCAGAATGAGATTAGCATGTAGCTGCCTTTATCAGCAAGTCTTGGTAGAGAAAAAAATATCAAAAGAACTAAATGGTGGACAGCGATACAACTGATATACATTCTGGGCCACCTCATCTTCTTCTGGATCTGTAGTGGACTAATGTATCCTCATGTCTTCACAGAGTAATGCCTACTAGGAAAATTGACATTGGCCATCCCGGATCTACATGCCATGTGTCTTTAGTATCTTTTAATCTGAAACAGTTCTGAGTCTCTCTTCCCTTTCCACGATAGTAGTACTTTGGAAGAAACCCAGGCCAATCCGAAACCTCAATTAGCGTGTGTCTAATAGTTTCCTTGTGCTTAGATTCAGATTATGTTTTTTTCTTTTTTCTGGCAGAAAAATTACAAAAATTGTTTCCTTTTCAGTGCACCCAGAGGCACTCAGGGTCACTGTGTCTCATAATTGGTGATGATAACTTTGATCTCTTGGTTAGAAGGAATGAGTCAGACTTCACTGGAATTTGAGGGGTTAATAATGAGTAATCTGTGAGGAGATGGTTTGAGACTATGTAACTATTCTGTACTCTAAAATATTTTTACCCTGTGGTTTGAGCATCTTCATTCTTGACTGACTCAATTATTACTATGAAGTTTTCAAAATAGTACTTTTGAATCTCTTCTATTCCTTCTCCCTATATTATTAATATAGTGGTAGATTCAAAGAAAATTTTTCCTATATTTCATTTGTTGTTATCCTTAACTGTCATTATTAATGGGAAGATTTTTGTTTATTTGGTTTTTTTTTTTTTTTTTTTTTTTTTT